GTCATAAAAGAAGATAATCTCCCTCCTAACGAATGGAGACTAGGTAGGGTGGTCAATTTACACCCAGGTTTGGACAGTAGAGTCCGAGTTGTTGACATCCTGACCGAAAAGGGCACTGTGACAAGACCGCTTGTCAAACTGATATTACTACCACCCTATCACACGGAGACAACCGCTGAGGACGACTAGGAGAAGAATTTCTACCGCTACCAACATTTTCAACTATATTTTCATTGTATACACTTCAAATATTTGTATCTTCTTAGGGCCAGTTTCATCGTGCCAGTTTAAACTTAGATCACATAAAGTGCATCTGCAGTGAACAGCTGGCGGACATTTGCTTGGCTAATCTGGGTATAAGCCAGTCAGTCCGATTTGAAACTGCAGACGTGCACTAAGAAACCGACCCTTAGGTTAAATTATAAATAGTTACCTTCATTTATCTTAAGCGATTTTAAGTATACCTCCTCAATTGCGGATCCACACTTATCCATCGTTGTAGTTGGTAGCGAATTTCCGAAAATGATTTACTTAATGTTTTTTTTTGCCATTTTTTCATATGATTTTTCGTTTTATTCACATTGCTTTCCCCAATATTTTTTTCAAATTTTGATATTTATATACCGACATATATATCAATATACCCACGTATTTCCGAATTTTTCATATGATTTTTTCGTTTTATTCACATTGCTTTCTACCTCAATTTATATATTCTTATTTCTCAATTTATATATTTCTGTAGCGATTTAATTCAACTCTTGGTTTGTTAAAATTTTAGTTTCTTGATTTAAAATGAAGATGCTGTTTGATTAGAACAAGTTCATGCGTTTGTTTGGCCTGCCAAGAGGCTTAAATTACCGGGAAAAGTGGGTGCATCTTTGCGGTAAGAACATAAGAACATAGGCGTTAAAAAAAAAAAAAAAAAACGAGCTGTGTTGATGCTCGGCGATTCTAAAACACTTTCTGTACCCAAAACCATATTTTTATGAACAATTTTTGCTCATCTTCACGTAGTTTAACTTATTATATTATAATAAATGCCAATATAATCGCACTCAGTAAGGCATTTGTTCTCCAAAACACACTTTTGCCAATACTTCATTTTCACTATAACACTTTGTGCCAATACTTTGTCGTCATCTGGGCACACTACTATGCACATAAATAGGTGCCAATACTTTGTTGTCATCTGGGCACACTACTATGTACATACGTAGGTATGCATGTGTTCCTTTCAGCATTGCACTTTTTCACATAACCTATCCCAACACATAAATACGCATATTCAATTTGTGTGTAAAAACTTTAAAAGGGCACGCTCTTAACGCGACCAACTAGCACCACATGGTACATATGTATGTACATATTCCTTTACATAAGGCACATTTACATAATGAATTGAACACTCCACCGGTACTTCTGCACTAGGCTTGCCAGATCCAATTTGTCAAAAAGCTTGACATTGACCAAAAAAAAACTTGATTTTGAAAAAAAAACTTGACAAATAAAAACACTCATACTATGGGTTTTTGTTTAATTTTTTATTATTTTTTTTTTCATAAAAATTATTAGAATAAAAACAAAAATATCATAAAAAGAAAAAATAACAGAAACAATGTAAAAGAAACAAAAAACAATATAACAATAAAAATTCAGTCTTTATATATTTTAAAGAAAACTTAGGCGTTATTTCAAAAAAAAATATAGGTACTATCTTAAGAAAAAAAATATAGGTTCTATTTATTTTGCCACATATATTTCGTATTCTTAGATACAGAATTAATTAATTCTCTACCATCGGGTGTTGTTAAAAAATTTTGAAAGTTTTTGCAATCCTCATTAAAATTTATTCTTATTAATAGTTCGGCTTTTATTAGATCGAAGGACATTCTATTCCTATCTTTAGTATATAAATTATTTAGAACACTAAATGCTTTTTCACAAAAGGCATTGCTTATTGGGATAGAAAACACAAATGAGATCAACTTTTTTAAATTTTGAAGATTGCTTTCTGCACACTTTTTTAAAAAATATGACCATATTCTATCATTTGGTATATCTTTTGGTAAAATATCGTAAACTTCTCGAAGAACACAGTAATCGGCATACAGTTTATCATTGTCAATGTCATTTGAAATACCTAATAATTTCGGAAGCTCTAACAGCTTATTCCAAGTCAGAAGGGACTTTTTTATATTTAGACAGGAAATTTGTTTGTATATTGATGTTTCTCCAAAATCATACCGTTCAGCTAAATAACTGGTAACTCTCTTAAGAAACTCATTTGCTTCGAACTTGAAAGTACTTATTTCATCAGGGGAAAGGGATTTCATAATTGTAGCAACTTTGCTTCCATAAAAATTATCATTCATACGGCTTTGAATACTGTTCATAAGATTGGCCATTACGTTATGTAGTTCTACAATTGTGCAGGAGTCACTTTCTAAAACTAATGTAGCAGCTTGGAACTCGTGCATGACATTATGAATGAAATATAAATATGCCTCGGATAAACCTTCAATTGTGCATTCATCATCTTCGTTTGTAAGTTCTATGTCGGAAATTGCATGTGCTACGAATTCCCAAAGAACTTTTCGACAATTTTTCTTGCCTTTTTGTAGAAAATATCTTTTTACTGCCGGCCAACAATATAACAAACGGTCAATTGCTGGCAGAAGTGAAAGCCATCTTGTAGGCACATGTCGAAGGAGATTTTTGTACTCGATGTTTGCAAATTCAAAACATTGTTTTAATTTTTTTGTAGTCCCAGCCGAAGAGCTAAATTCATTATATATTTTGATTACAATGTTTTCGACGTCAACAGTTAAAGCGTTAAGAGCATTTTTTATACAATTATTAATTACATGGCAATTGCAATTTGCTTTTATAATTTGGCTATTTTCATTTTTAAGTTTTTGAAATACAGAATTATATAAACCGTAATTAACATTTGCGTTATCAGCACTATACGATGTAATTTGTTCAATTTTTAATTTATTAACATTTGTAATTCTAATAATATTACCAAATATATCCTTAGATGCTTCATCAGGATCTTCGTAAAAATCTAAAATTTGTTTACGTATCCCAGTTTCGGGATCAAAATATTGTACAGCATACGGATAGGTTTTTACGTTGCCGATATTTGAAGCATCGCTACTTACGGAATAATACCAACATTCTTTTAAGGCTTTAGCAACTTTCTCTTGCGAATATGGACCCAAAACATTTCTTGTTATAGCTGCTGATTTTGTACGTCCACATGTTATTTTGTTGGCAATTTTACTGTCGGAGTATATAGTAGAACTCATTTTCATTTGGCAATCTAAGCTGTTATAGCTGAGGCCGTGTAATACGTTATGAAATACACATAATAGTTCAGCCCGTGCAATTTGTGTTTCAATTGTAGTTTCTGCTGAAACAGTGAAATTCGAAATGCTCCGGGACATTTTTTGCGACAATACGATTTTGGCATGTTTTTTAGTTTTCATATGTCTATTTAATGCCCAGCTCCCTTCATATTTTATTGAAATTTCTGTCTGACATAATTTACACAATGCAGTGTATTGATCTTTCTTTTGTATCCAATTGGAATATTCTGGTGCCACATGCCATCTATCCAAGTAAACAGTATATCTTGGTTTTTTTGATGGTCCAGCATCTTCGTTACCTTCTAGCATTTTTGTTATATATTCACTAATCCAACGTATCACAATAGAATATTCTGCAAATAATATACTCGTTAAAACAAATTAACAAACAAAAATATAAACTCACTTTTTATTTCCAAAAACTTCAATGTACGTATTGCAACTATAATGTTCGTCCAGAAGCTTTTTTCTGACCGTGCAGTTAAATTTTAATTAATTTAGTTGCAAATATTGCCGGGCAAAACGTTTGTTAATCAACCGTATGTATGTGTGTGTGTTACTTTGTTGTTTATAAGCGACAAGAAGAAAAGAATGCGCGAGAGTTAAGAGATCAAATATGACTGACTTTATTACAATGTTGTCAATTTACCA